GCCAAAAAGTTGAGAGTACGTGTGGTTTTATTTTGTTCATCTATATCTATCATCTTAACTCACTTTTGATTAATATGATACTTTCATCACACAGATTGCCAAGTGCTGGGTTGTGCAGAAGGTAGGCACCAAAGCCCAAGTTGATGATGCCACTGACTCCGACTTTTGGCTTTTTGAAGAAGAATTGGATGGCAAATTTGTCAAGTATATGGGAAATGACAACTTTATTAACAAGCACAGTTGTACTCCCATATACCAAATGATCCACGCCCTTGCACATCATGACCTTCAAGAGAATGGTGGCAGATCATTCGTATGCGACTTACAGGGGGGTGGTGCAACTCTGACTGACCCCGCAGTTAACGATCTTGAGTGAGTGTACTCATCTATCTGAGTCTCAATGTGCCCCATTTTGACGCATGGTTTATATCTTTACCCACAGTAAAACCTTTGGCAGTGGCAACTTGAATTATGAAGGCCTCCGCTTGATGATAGATCAACACCGGGAGAATCAATGGTGTAGAAATTTTGGACTTGACAATATGGAAAAGTTTAAACGACAGCTTGAATTGTGAGGAGCTCAGGGTCCTCTTTTCAATTCAGTCGGGGTCAATCAAATAGAATCAAACACAATTTCGTTCACATTTATATTTTTCATGCGCTCTCGGTCTTTCTTTATTCAACTATTGCTTTCATCTATTGCTTCTACATTCATCAGATCAAGTCGTAACAGATCAGAATAAAACTTAGATTCCTCTAAATAATATCATCCTAGCTTGATTTGCTCAAACTGATAATCAACCTTAACATCACCACCTCCACCAACCAAGAAAATCGAAATTAACCTAGGAATCTGTCAGAGCTATCCAAAATCGACCTAATATCACATCCCAACCTAAACCAATCAGTTGCGATTAAACATTCTAACTCACTCACTGTTTGACTGACCAATTCAGCTTCAATCCTGATTACAATGACAACAATCATCAGTTCTCATTCCTACACCTCGATCTTCAATTTCGATCTCAAATGTCAAATTCCTTATTGTTCAATTTACAAAGTCAAGTTGCAGCTACCTTGTGGCTCGAGGCAATCAATGGTCAAAAAAAATCTGACTATTTTACCTTTCAAGTTGTGTGACTCCTATTATATATCAGACTCGAACCGACTCACACTCTGTCAAGTCCATTCCCTTTCAAGAATCAGCATCCTGTTGACAAAGTGTCATGTCAATGCTCTAATGCTTCATCTTACCAAGCCCTTCCCGCCAGACCTGGCAGTGCCCAACGGACGGATCGACCTGGTATCACCTCTCGCCCCATAAATTTCATTGATTACTACATTTCCTCGATATTCTTCTTTAATCATTGGATTGATTTTGATTAATCTAAGAATATTTAAGAATCCAGAATTCTTTTTGAATTCTGGATTCTTTTACACTCTTTAGTGCTTCTGTTAAATTTGGATACATTTTGATTAGTTTTTGGATTGATTTGATTGAGGTTTGGATTTGGTTTTCATTAATTCCATCTATTGGTACCATAAAACATTCTTTAAATTTCTTATTTCCACCTTTGAAAAAAAAGAATATATATCTGAATTTGCAATCTTTGATAAATATTCATCCAGACATCTGTATCTTACCTTTACCATCACTCAATTTTACAAACCCTTCTTCACTTAAACTCAAACTGATCTTCCAGATCTCTTTTAATCCAAAAACCAATTGATCAAGATCAAAGGACAAATGAAGATTAAGAAATTCATTAAAAATCTTTTGACCTAATTTGATTTCTTCTTGAAAATTCATTTCATGAATCCCTTTAAATTTAGGCAATAATGATTATTATTCATTAAATTTGATGATGATTTTGGATTTTGTAAAGTTTTGATAATTGATGAAGATACAATACAATTCCCAGCCTGTATATAAATTGGTAATTACATCTTTTTAGACATTTTGAAAATTTATATTGTCTCTGAATTTACTTGCTTTGCTACCATAATTGATGTTCTTCAATTCCCAGCCTGTATATAAATTGGTAATTACATCTTTTTAGACATTTTGAAAATATCAATCACTTTTTAAAGTCATTTCTTTGTGAGGATCAATAATATTCAAGGCTACAAGGAATTTCCTAACCCTTGTATGCAGCAATCTTCCACTAAGTACATATATATTCATACATATATACTTTGCCAAATATTTTGAAAAGCTAGGAATAAAAAATTGAGCCAACAAGCAGAAACATCGATTTGTTTCATCATCACATATAAGCAACACAGCACTGATGATACATCACTACTCATATGGATTGAATTGAAGATGAGAGAGTAATCCCAGAACACGGGTGAATACAACCCAAACATTTTCTGAATTGATGGAATCTTCATGATAACCCAATCTTGATATCAACTTTGACACCTGCCATCCAAAAATGGGAGCTGACACCTGCTTTAGCTCCTCTGAATCAGGGTATTTGGTGGCGATAAGGTTGTCAATTGAATCTCTTGAAACATGATTCAAACCCTGGCTACCACCGTAGTTGACGGGAGAATAGTAGCATGTGTCAGGCGAAACACCGGTGGGAAGTTGGGACTCATGGTTCTTTTGTGTTTGGTATGTGTTTTTGCGCTTCACAAAAGAGTCCATTGCACGTTGAACCAGAGGCACCCACAAATGAAGAAATAGTGCCCTAGAAATGCATCTGGTCAGTTACAGTCAATGCAAAGCAAAAAACAAAAACAACATACTGTTGAACTGGATTGGACGGATTGTATACCCCTTCACGGATCTTTGCATTGATCTCATCCCTGAGCACTGTGTTTTTAGCACGCATCAACTGAGACCACAATGACTCTATCTTCTGATTGTGCTGTGAGGTCATGAATAGATGATGCTTATGTGCTTCATCGAGTGGCTCACCACAGAAATAGTGATGCATGAGGGTTTGGAAAGTAGCCATCTCAACTGTCTCACTACCATGGTCAGTTGATGTCCTGTCTGGGAATCCTCCTATGTCTCGAACAAGCTCTAAGTACTGCAATCCAATTCTACGGGGATCATTGTTGCTTGTTGCTACATGTAGGCTGAGAACTTTGCGCGACCAAGCGTCAATGAAACCATAGATTGTGATACCAAAAGGCTTAAGTTTATCATGCACGTCACTAGCCCACAGATGATTAGGACCTGGGACATAGAAAAGGCGTCTTTTGAGCTTCCCTGCTGTCCGTAGAGCTACTCCATTTGGATCAATGATTTTAACTAATTGACGGACTGTCTCTTGATGAATCCTAATGCTATCATCCACCGCCAGATGTTGTTGCATAGTTTGATAGCCTGCGTTCCAATCCTCCCCTTCTATGTGCTCAAGAAGGATACCAACCAGGTCAGCTGGTGTCACTCAACCTTCTTGGATGTCATCTCTGCGCCAGTTGAGACCCATTTCTTTTGACAATTGATTTATGTTGTGCATGTTGATGGGAATATCATATGTGTCATTGATGGCACACAGAGCAATGGGTTTGGTGTCACCAAGAATATAATGCCGTCTCAAGATCCCATAAGTGGTATTCTTTTGATCCGGGGTCATTGATGGTGAGTTTGTTAAGTTGTGCTGCGCTAGGTATTGCTGGAGACTTCTCTTTGAAATTGGGATACCAATATTATGAAGGGCATCTACCATACTGTCCTGTGACATTCTCTGTTGGCAATATTCAGGAAGAAGATGTTCAAGGAGCTGATTTTGGAGTGGGGTGAGGATGTGAGGCCTTTTGATTTCATCTTCATTTTGATTCATAGTATTGAAAATATTGAGAGTCAGGTGTGGAAATCAACAAGTTTGTTCTTGAGAGTGTTCTAGATAAAGTGCTGATTTCAATATAGTGAACTGTGAATGAACAGGAAGTGATAATGTGACGTGGTTGCTCTGGACTGGGTAAGGAGTTTGTCATGATTGATTCAGAGCTCTATTTATAAGCAAAAATGGGTAAGTAAAAAGAAGGTGGATCTCAGGAGAGATGCTGACCCCTATTACAACCATTAGCAGATGCAGCCTGTTTGAAGGCTCACTAGGCTCATGTACGTTTAATTGTTCAGTATTGTTTGTGAACCCCTAACTAACCATCAGCATCTCAGAAGCTATCCTAATCTAATCTACCGGTCTTTAGAATTACAGCTGTTCCAACAAAGATTGTTTTTTTTTGAAAATCTCGCCAATGTGCAAAACCCGGGTTTTGTCCCTCACTTGATTTTGTCTATTTTGTCTCTCCGCTAATTGGAAGAATACAGGAAATAATAAACCTGTAATCAAGTTTTGTCTTTGGTTTCAGCCGCTGCGGAGACAACTTTCTCCAGCAAAAAGTTGTCAACCTTTCTTGAAACGGCTGTAAACGGCTTGGTTGTTTCAATCCAAGCGTTTTGTTCAGTTTGTAGCCAAAGTTGAACTTAGTACCTTCGTAGACAGCGAGAACAGGCACCGTTGAACGCTGATCGATACACAGCCCCAATTGCAATTGGTATCGATCATGATCGTTGATGTGCGTTCAATGAATGATCAATACACAAGTTTATAATCTTTCGTCTTTATTATCCTTTAGCATCGATTAACAGACCGATGGGTGAGGTGGGTGTCTTTCAGAGTGTAGACAGCTACCGATGATAGTGATTTGTGATCATTAAGATGTATGATTTACAAATCACAAAACACAAAACACGCTCGCTGTTTGAGGTTTCGATCCGTGATTATGGGATCATCCAGAATACCATCACAATCAACATCCGAAACCGAGCCAACACCATCAACCTGTTCGAACACTACAATAGAAGTACAGAAAGATATTTCGAAAATATTGCAAGAACCACTGGGCTTATTGAACCAATTAGAAGACTTATTGATATCGAATCCTAAACTACTTCAATCATTAATACGAGAACTCGAAGATCGATCAGAGGAAACATCGATCGTGAATTTCTTCGTGAGTTTATCTATCGTCACTCAATGCTTTGTTCTCTAACACGTTATTGACTGCTCTTTGAAAACCTCCAATTCTTGATTCCTAGGATCAACTTTCACTCGATCTACCTAACAAACTAATTCATTTAGTTTATAGTAGTAATCCCCCAAAACCAACAGAAGATGATGTAACCGATTCGAATACTGATCCTATCATTGGATTATTGAAAACTTTCTCAAGATTTGGAAATTCACGTGAACTCTTTTTGAGTATTACTGGAACGATCTCTACTATTTGTCGTCAGGATACATTTTCAGAAGATGATGATGAAGATGATGATAGCATTCAAGGATTCTCACAACCTTTGATCGGTTCTGGATTTATACTGATTATGGTTGAAATCCTTTCGATTGGTCAGTTTATAAATTTATTACTCTCATTGCAATCCAACGCACATATTGATATTTCCTTATTTTTTCAATCGATAGTACTTAACCGGATCCTCAAAACCTCTAAAAACCCGATATCTTTTTTTCAAACGTATTCGAAAACTACAATCGAACTATTGAAGAACTTACCAAGTTGTTCATCACCTTATCAACACTTGAAATTATTAATCGATCAATCTTTATCAATCTACAACTCAACTCCATCACTCAGATTACACATTATAACGTTTTTACTCTATTCTATTTATTTAGTTATATGCGATAAAAAAATAATTTCATCAGGTAGAACATGTTTTATGAAAAAGTATCCACGTTGGAATAGTAGTTTGGAAAGAATCGACAATTTAGATCACGAAAAAATGCAAAAGATTGAAATCATAGATGAACAAGAGTCTAAGATGATTTGTGATTTGTTAGGAGAATTTGGTTTGAACTTTGGTTTTGATCAAGGTTTTGAGTCAGGGGAACTCGAGAAGGGAATAGAAGTTACAAAAGAGCTCTTGGTTGATTATTTCGGTGATGAAGAAGAGTTAAAGAAGATACTCAGATCGAGTCGGTTTTTGATCTATGCGATGAACCAATTCAATCAATGGGAAGAGACTGGATCAATCGATTCTTCAATTCACATTGATGAAGAAGTTTTAATAGAAGCACTCGAGGACTCTGATACCAATATGATCCAAGCCGGGATATTTATAATCCTCTCGTCTTCTGTTCCTCTAGAAAGTCGAAACTTCAAACTGATAGATTGTTTAGCAACGTGTTCAGTTACAATCTTTTCAGCTGAACTTAGGTTTTTATGTTTTAGAACATTGGTCCACTTGATTGATTCTCTTGAATTCAAGACCAAATTTGACTCTTTCTTACATCTCTTTAACACTAGTTCAAAGTATATCAAATTAGAAAAAGCATTAGTTAATTTGGTCAAAGAGAAAATGGCAGGGTCTTTGGGAAAGGCGACGGAAGATCAAAAGTTTTGGTGGTCTAAGGAATGGGTTTTGAGAGTTCCTGGATTGATTGACTGTACTGATGGAATCAATTCTCAAAACTTGGAACTTGTGATTGAAAAAGTTAATTTTGCTTATTTCTTGTTAAGATCAGATTTTGAAACTCAAGTAAGTTTGGGCATTATCATTTCTGATTTCTTGAGCAGATGAACTAAATTGTTTTGTTTTTGGAAATAGACAGGTATTAAAAATGATGAAATGAAAGAAATGATTACAAGAAACTTGATCATTCCTGCTTCTCAGTTTTCAGAAAATTTTCAGATTGACAAAGAAGTAGATGATGAAGATAAATCTAAAGTTTTAATGATGTTAAATTCTTTAAGATTTAGTTTAAGTTTAATCAATTCTATTGAATAAGTCAAATGAAGAACAAAGACAATCATCACATATACCTTCCTGTGTATTCTGGAATTGGGACCTTTTTTTTTGATTTAAGCTGTTGTGTTGACTTGTTGAAGATTTTTTCAATTTGTTAATTGTTCGATGACACATGTGAATAGTGAATAAAAAGAGGGATTTCAATTAACAAAGTTATGGACCCTGAGGCCTCAGGCTTTCAGCTATGGACCCACAAAAGCTGTCATTGAATCACTGTCTCTGTACTTCATTTCAATCATCTACTTTTCAGGAATAATGTTTTTCCGTGACTTGAAAAGCTTTTATATTTAAGGAAGAAAGCTATTGGGACTTTAACCCGCGATGGAGAGTGCCGGAAAATCTCAAGATCATGGGATGAGTATGCGACATTATTCCAAGTGGTCCGACCCGTAATTTGTGAGGCACTGACAGAGTTTCAAGTCGTGAACAATATCGACAGCTTTGCGATGGTGATCAAGAGACGCATGTCTTGGAGAAATTTACGCGTGCAGCTGGTACCGTTGGAGTAAGCCTTGAAGGTGTATGCATAGAAAAGGCTATGTGTATAGGCGTCCGGATGGCAACTGTCCTCATGAATCCCAAGCCTCAACATGCCTCTATTTTTTGCCACATAAAATGTAGGCAGAATTGTTTAACCATTGTCAGTCACATGTTAGGGTACAGTCTTGCATGGTTGATTATATGTGTGTTGTCAGGACTCAAGAATGCAGTCACCCTCTTCTCCATGGTTACAGTGGGGGGTTCCCTGGAGTCTGTACATCGGTTTGCCAGGCCCGCGACCAGTCAGCTAAACAGGAATCATAAAAACATTCAAAACCCATTTAACAATCAAATAATTGGCACAGGTTGCATCAGTCCCTTTCCCCAGCGAGTTGCAGCACCTTTCCATTTCACTATACAACAATTGCCTTTTCTTCCTCACCTAGGATAAACTTATAGACTTATCAGCGATACACTCAAATTTCACACAGAAATGTATACCTTCAATACTATTGCAAGCTTAGTGCTGTTTGCCGTGACTTGGCAGTTCGTTGGCGCCACGACACTTACGTGTGATCCCACTTGGAATTCTGTACCGTTAGGTACCAATGGAGGAAGGACATGTATGTATCATCTTAACATATTTTGCAGTCGTTTCCTTTTGATTATGTCTTCGTGGGTTAAAGTCATGATCTTTTCCTTTTCTGAATTTATTAGCGTGTCAGGTTGAAAACCAATATTATGGTTGTTACGCAGAGGACTGTTGGACTGGTACACAACCACCAAAGGGAACCAAGAATAGTTGAGTTTTATTTTTTCGATTCTCTTCCTATATAGATCGATTTCAAGTCTCTAACAGCTGGAATATCTTACCACTTCCCTTTTCCTGTACTTTCAACACAGCTTTGAGGATTGTCTTCACAGACTGTTACAGGTATACTAACGAGTTTGGGAATTCCAAGCAGGAGAAAACATCAGTCAAGGTTTGGGCAATGGCTTACTATATGATTCGGAAAAAAGGCCATGTCAGTAAGTAAAGTGTCTCTTTGGTATTTCGGTGCATCGTTCATTGGAGATGTCATGAATTCAACCTCATTATCCAAAATCCTTGATTGATTTCTCTAGATGTGATGGGATTTGAAGAAGGGAAGGCCGACCCAAACCTCATGGCAGGATTCAGATGTCATGATGTGAACACTCCATTGGCACGTGCGTATAGGCTTGAAACTTACTTTTTTGAATAATCTTACAAGCATAAAAGCACTAACTCCCTTTTGATTGTGAAACTATCTACACATTTTCCACTTCCAGAATGCCCATCGGACAGTTGTAGTCTGACTAACGTCCATTAGTGACCAAGGCTGAGACTGAGTGGACTGGTGATATCGGGAATCTGATGACTCACCTACAAATATCGGCTGGACGTTTTGCGTATCTTGGAAGTTGATCGATCGGCCGGACTCGAATACTTCAACCAAAAAAACAATTACAAAATGTACATATCTATCATCACAGAACACCCTTTTATTTAGAAAGATTGGATATCTTTGGTGGGCTCTATTGTAAATAAAAATATTCTGACTTGTATTAACTACATACCTGATCCTTCCTGTGAGCCGCTAAATGTACATCAATTGAAAGTAAAGAGGAGTATTCACGAAGTATACACGCTGAAAAAAGGTCATGAAGACTTCTGTTGCTTCTGTTGGAGGTTGTCTATCTCCTGACACTTCTGATGACGAACATCAGTGACGAACATTATGACAAAGATTCGATTTGCAAACCAATCAAGGTTGAACTTCACAGTCTCAATCGCTTTATCGTATTCACCTGACTCTTCGACAGATACCTTCACCTCTCACAAGTCAGTTGATGCTCAGTTTGATCTTTCCGTTCTCACAAAAGAGTTGCAATTCATTTTAGATGAAGTGATTCAATTGAAGTGTAGAGATGAGGCTGAGCACGATGCTTCGATTATACGTGAACCAGAATCCGCATCATGAGACCAACTCAACATCCTTTCGTTATTTCGTTGGTCTGATGATCTAAAGAGGTTGAAGGACATCACGGACGATCACGGATTGATCTCAAAGGATCGTCTCAGAGTAGAGGTTTTATCGTCAATTGGCTGCCAGCTGGTGTATGCGCTTGTATATATGCTGTGATCGGCAGGAGTTTAGAAATGAGGTCAAATACAGAGTATAAACTTGAACTCGAAGAGCCCCAATGAAGATTTGAACTGACAAGTATCTTCTTCACTTATCATTTCATCAAATCATCATACCAATATCCTAAAATCATGATTCATGGAAAATGTCATTGTGGTATAGTCTTTCTCTTCATTCGCTACTTGATCCCTTCCTTTGACCTTTTAGATTCTCAGTAATGTGGGTTTCCGGTTTCTGTAGGTGATATCACCTTTACCGCCGAGGAAGTTTCTATGAAGGCTGGTTTGATATGCCATTGCATAACTTGTCGAACCATGACATGTAAGACGGTTTCTCAAGTAGTTGATGGATCGTACTTATCATCCGACTCACATCATGACAACTTCCAATCGTTTTCAGCGTCTTTCTCTTATAATTTACAGGCTAGTGCTCAATCAATTAAGATTACTCATGGTCAACCGAAAGTATATAAAGACACGACGAGTGACAGTGGAAAACCTGTTTATCGGTTTGTGATCAACTCTCGATTGATCGATCGTTCTCAGATAGAATGATCAGCTCAAAACCATTCGCTGAAATTCTTTTTTGCATCCTTGCTGATTGATTTCGAAGAAACTTTTGTGGAGCCTGTGGGACCGCTTTGTTCAGGTTAGTTGAATTCTATTCAAGATTTCCCAAAAAAAAAACACTTCGAATGGGATTCATTGACCGAATGCAATTTTGATGACCGTCAGTCGCTTAGAAGTGATACCAGATGGAGCGATGATCAAAGTAGGATGTATTCAAGAATCTGACGCTGTAGAACCACAAAGCGAAGTCTATGTAGAACGTGCTCTAGAAGGTCTAGGATTGTGAGTCGAATCACAATTCTTTAACTTTATAGCTTTTTTTTTCTGAGAGGTGAAATCTTAGATTCATTCATTAAAAATTGATCGAAATTTTAACCTGATTGCATTGTTCTCTTTGTTTTTTAGAGCTGGGAATAATAAAAATACGAAATCATTCGAAGGCATGATGAGAAAAGAAGTTTAAGTAAAGAACTCATTTCTGCACATTTCTTTTTTTTTTGGCTTTTTTACACATTATTATTTTGTTTTCAAATCCAAAATATAAACTATTAATCTTTGTATGAATCTCATAGTAAAGCCATGTGTAGGAGAGTTGATGAGGCTTCCACTGTTGAATGCCATCAAAGGGGGTAAAAATCTTATCTTGCAATCCAAAATCCACCCATGGTACGTGATCCAAACATGCGACAAATTTGGTAAACATCCCGGTTCTATTTTCAAGCGTGGTAAACTGAACAATCTTAAAGACAGAGATTCTAAAGTATGGCCATTTTGCAATACAGCAGACAACGATGCTGAGTCATTCCTCACACATCTCATCAAGGTTCATTCAATCGATGAAGTTCTGAGATTTTTTATACATTTAATTGCGACTACCATGCTATCCAAAAACCCAACTGAGTGAGCAAAAATCAACTTCAAATCAACAAATCTTGAACCACACAAACTAATTAAATCCGCCGCATCCGGCATAAAGATGCAGTATAAGTTAGAACTCACTGCACAATTATGTGAAATATGAATTATATGTGAGAAGAATGTTACTTTACATAGCCTGGTGCATTGGGTTCCAAATTTAACTACACTCCCATTTCTGTAATGTACCAGCTACTACAAGAAGGATTGGGTCTGTGACTCAGGGGGGTCAAGAAGACCACGAATCAGCAATTAGTCACGTGACCCGATCCGTGACTGCGCAAGTACTCGTCCAGATTTCAAAATCTCATTATCCTAATCTTTTCGACCCCATCGAACCACCTTCTCCACGCGATAACGGCCGTTATGGAGGTCGACGACGCGCCGGATACGGGCCAGAAGGAGAAGAGTGTTCCAAAGAACACTACTCCAACTCGCGACGCGTCCAACGCGTTTATCAATCCGGTCGGGCCCCAAGAAAGGACCAAATCGTCCATCCCCCCTACTCCTCTCGTTTTCGATAAAACGAAACTCAGCCAAGGGTTGACTCAATCTCCCTCGATTCAGGCTTCCGATCTTGGAAGCTTCTCGAAGAAGAGAAGTCGTCTTGAAACGCCGGGCGTAACCGCCGAATATCAAGCTGCCGAGTTAACGGGCACACCGAGATCGAACAGAATGCATGATCTGTTCCCAGGAGTTGCCGAACCTACGTCACTCAAGGACATGGTAAGCAAACTCCTGGAGGTGATCAAAGCGGGTTTCCCACTCGCCAATAAGTCCGCTAGGACCAAGCAGATTTCGGTTGACGTAGAATCTGCTGCAGATATTCTCGTCTTAACCGGTGCCGTATATGATAGAATCATGTATGAAGACGCTCGTCGTAATTACACAACGCCTGAAGCGTTAAGCGGTCAAACCCAGAAACGCTCAATAATATTCAAGGGTAAAGAGACCGACGATACATTAAATATGATCGTTGAGCAACTCGCCATACTCACCACAACAATGGGACAGAAGAACATACCTGTACCCTCAAAAAAGACACCAACGACTCCATCGTATGCACTAGCAGCATCTAAACATGCTCCAACAACTGGCAAGACGACCACTCTGCCGCCAAAACCAAAAGCTAAATCGGCTAAAACGCCACCAAAAACAAGGCCTACTAACACCATAACGTTAGTTCACGAAGTGGGGGCTGAAATCACGCACCCTGATTTACCCAATGCCAAACTCATCCAAGAGATCAATGTGGCGCTCAGAGCTTATCAGGTAAAAATGAAACCTGAGGACACTGAGGCTATAGAAGCAAAGAGCGTGCGACGCCATCCGTCAAACGACATTGATATATATTTCGAGACAGCGGCACACGCTACCAAAGTGCGAACCCTGCCCAATTTATGGGTTCAAGGTTTTTCCAAATCTTTAAAAATGAAAGAATCTAGACACAAAATCATAGTGAATGGAATACCTACAACATTTGATCCAGACCTATCAGACCATAGAGAAGAGTTACAAACAAGTAATAACAATCTTCTCAAAGGCATGAAATTTGTCAGATGGTTGAACCCAAAAGCGCTTAAGGATCCTTCAAAAAGACACTCGTCTATACTGATTGGCCTGAGCAGTGACGACGAAGTTCAGCAATGCATCAAACAAAAGATTTGGCACGGGAGAGGTAGACATACCACTCTTCGAAGTGGCCCACCCCCACAACGCTGCTACAACTGTCAGAAGCCAGGTCATACGGCAACGAGCTGTCAACTTGATCCTCTATGCCCGTTCTGCGGAGAAAAGCATCACACACACGTCTGCCCCCAAAAGGGCAAAACCGACATGAAATGCACGGCGTGTGTAAGACACAAAGTCAAGCTTGACCCAACATCAGATATCAAAGCAATCTTCAAATCCAACCACGCTGATTTTATACATCACCCGTTCAGCCCAGCGTGCCCAACAAGGATAGCCGCAAACAAACCTCCTTACAACCCTAGCGGATCGCCAAAGATCGTAATAATAGAAAGCAGCGACATGAACATATCATCATGATAGAACAACACCTGCGAGAACTATTAACTTCACAAGACACAATGGCGGTGCTGCAGCTGAACTGCCACCGCTCCCAACATGTAATGCATTCTTTATTTAATCACGACCTCACTAATGAGTTTTCCATAATAGCCATCCAGGAGCCTCATATCAACAAAGTTGATTACCTACCACCAAATCAAACGAACTGGACTTTAATTAGCCCAACACCAGCAGAGAAGAATGAAGACTCGCGCCCGAGGTCGTGCCTATACGTTAGGAAAGACCTCCAAGTGGCTCTCAACCCAATTTCCTCCCCTTCGCGAGACATATCCGCATGTACAATTAAGATCAACGATTTCTCTCTTTTGATTACCAATGTTTACAACGCGCCCGAAACCTTCACAGGATTTGAGGCGTGGGACGCGCTAATGACCAATTTACCCCTTTCCCTACAATTACTACCAACAATTGTAGTAACAGACGCCAATTTACACTCACCGGCTTGGAATCCAATACACAGCAACACATCAGATAAATCAGCAAACGACCTAATAGACATCATGTCTAAATGGGACTTACGGCTGCGATCACCTGTTGGCCAACCAACCTTTGGACTCAACTCAACAACCACAAAAGGAACCACAATCGATTTAGTGTGGGTCAATGAGC